TTATACCCAAATATCCAAGTTTAAACAATTTTAGCAACTGAYAATTCTTGCACAGAAAAAGTGTCAATATTTTTTTTTACACTTGATGTCAATTTAAATATATTTGAACTACTTTTGGGATTTTTTTATACTAAATATTCTAATTCTACAGCGTTGTTTASTTTAATAACTAATGWTTTAACAAGATTTGGACTAGCAACATCCGACTGCAGAGGTCAATATTATGGACCATAACTAAAATTTCTTGATAATATTTCAAAGGAAAACAATTTAAAACGGAGCAAAAGCCATGTGGTTATTATAGAAAATAATTAGTTAATTTTGACTTTTTGTTTATACGAAAATAATGATTAGGTACCTATATCTAAGTTTTCAAGAAACAAAATTTAAAATTTAAAACATTATCATATCTATTCAACAATTAAGAGATAATAGATTGTTTCAGTAAAATCTAGTGAGCTRAAACTGAAAAAGCCAAATGAACTGCGAATAAAAAAAACTAAGAAATTACTTCAAGGTAATAGTGAAGGGCAGACATTTTCATCAGTTAGAGAAAAGTACAAAATTACATTTTATGAACTTCTAGATGTTACATTATCATCATTAAAAACTCATTTAAAAAAAAATGAATCAATCATTTATGCGAACTTGAAAAATATATAATGGTAAAGAAAAATTAGTAACATATATTAGTTCCTTTTAATGGATTGATGACAGATGACAATAAAAAAAAAAACGGGAAACCGGATATCGCTTTGCTGTACAGTTGGTTACAACTCAGTTACAAGTGGGTTACTATAATGTATGGAATTAAATTTGAATCCAATGATATTATATCATTATATACGAAAAACGATTCTGAGCGAAGACAGTTTATGTGTCTAGGATATACATATTATAGATTATTATAACTAATTAATACTTATTAAAATATTTGACTTTCCGGTGGACATTTTTTTTTTATAAAGGTATAAAAAGTTATAAGGAATCTTGAGTTGAATTTTCAAATTTTAGATCTGAAAAAAAAATTTTTTATGAATTTCTAGCTTAAAATAATTTGCGAATTTTCGTGGTTTTTACGTATTTTGTCAAAATTCAAACTTTGAATGCTTATAAAAAAAAAAAAATCGTGACTGTATTTCTTTTATTTTTCAACTGCTATTGTAACAATATGTTAAGAGCCTTGTAATAAATTTTCATATGCCTTTAAATAGTTCAACTTAAGTCGAAATTTTTTTGAAAATTGCATWGTAGATAGAATATACTTCTATAAACATTCGGTGAAAATTTCATGTATCTATGATCATTTGTCTTAAAGTCACATCAAGAACCAAAATTTTATTTAYTCCGATTAAAAACGATCGAACATAAACTAATATTTCATTATTTCAACCACCATCGGTGTTCAGAGTACAAGTACCCGTAGATCRCMCTAAATATTTGATCTATAAAAAAAGTCCGGCAAAGTTGGTCAATACTTCAATAGCAGCCGCAATGTGTTAACTTAGGTACCACCCGGGGAGAATATTCGATGGTTTTGTGTCACTAACAAATCGAAAACTAGATTATAACATATTAAAATATATTTAACTACCTACCTATATTTACAGTAAAAGTAAATATGTAGTTGTAACACATTTGTGGGAGACGCAAATGTGCAATGTTATTATCATACATTGACAACTGTTTTAATGGCCTTACGGCTTATATCCCATCGTAGACGGGTAGGATTTACATGGATTTTTTTTTTAAATGTATTTTGCTCTCAAATTCCAGATCATTGAAATATGATTGTTGCTACCTAACTTAACCGTACGAAATCGAAATAAACGCATTCGGCATGATGTAAATATGATTTGATGGAACAGTGACTGTCGTTTATGAGTTTGTGTTATTTGTGACGTACATTAGCGATACGTGTGGGCGATGAGTGTTTTTGATGACGAAACACAACGTCGTTTGAAATCGTTGTCTTTTGGTGATCAGTATTCGGTAATGATCGCTTATTGTTAGTTATTCTTTGTTGGTCCCCCAACCCCTCCCTCCGTCTATGGTCTATTGGTATTATGTCTATTGTCTATCATAAACCCCTAAACGTATTATATATATTGTTAAGCCATATGTTTCGTACTTTTGTTAACGATGATTACCAAGTTTAAATTTCTCTGAAAAAAAAAATATATATTGTCGTTTATCATGAATCATAGCAGGTCGCAAAGTAACAAATATTAATGCTTTGCATGGATGAATGCTGAAATTGCAATTTCAATTTTAAAAAAATTAGGTGCTGGGTTCAATAACTATATTTATAATTGTTTTGTTATGTAGTCGTGTAGACGATTATTTTTATAATTATTATCAGTACTTATACCTATAGGTTTTTTTTTTATTTTTTTTTTTATTGCATTGTGACAAATTGAATTTATATTTCTATGTTAAGTTTGGTGGCGTGAGGGGAGGGACGAAAACTCAAACTTAAATATGTTTAAAAAATTAGCTGGGCCCCTTCACAAAAAATTTTTAAGTGAGCCACTTTCTTAGTTTTATTCTTCGAGGCTCAATCCAGATATCGATTACATCTCATAATTTTTAACTTGGTCTAATTCTTATTGATAATCAGTAGGTATTACCTACTGTATTAGTATAGCTGATAAAACAATTAAATATAAATATAAGCTGTAATATATTATATGGTAATTGGTTGTGAGGATCTCTAAAATATAATATATTACAGACTACAGTATTATATAATATATATATATATATATATTTCAAACATAAACAAGTCCAATTTGAATCAGGAATGCGTCTATTTTTTTTTTTTATCAGCCATCATTGATAAATAAGTAGCTCAACGATTATAATCCATTAAAATATTAACAAACTAATATAAAAAACAAATAGAATAACAAAGTAATATAAAACTAAAAATGTAAAATTAAAGTACACAAACAAAAACAATCAGATGATAAAACCAACCTCCTGAATAAAAAAAATAATAATAATAATGACCTGTTTAGGGTTAGAATTTAGAATGAAGTAGAGCTTAAATGAAACATTCAAGAAGTTAAGAGGAATGAGACAAATCACACATGCATTCCTTCAAATGCAGAGTACAAAAAGGAGAATCATTTAAATTTAACTTATATGCATGTGAGGGTGGAATGCAATGAAATTACATTTAAATGGAATGCATCTATGGGGCTTACCTTTTACAACCACTATTTTTTATCTTCTAAACTACAATTAATACTGGACTTCTACCGTGACCGACAATTAATGTAAAAACTTATTAATTTTTGTTTTGCTCAGATAAGTGCATAATTACACAATACTACAAACTTGAAATAACTATTGATTGTATTAACTTTTGTTTTTTAAAACATAATAATTATGTATTAGTATAACATAAGCAGAGAAAACTTAAATTATAATTTATAACCAATGTTGTTTTTTAATTCATTGGATATTACAATAAAACAAATATTGATACCTACTGACTACTGCAAACGCAATGTCATGTTTTGAACTAATGCTGTTCTTTTTTGTAAAATATAAAAACAATATAACAAAATGTTCAACCAACTAATAATTAAATTTTTTTTATTATTAATACTTCAATGTACTAAATGACAAAAAAAATTCATGTATAAATATATATATTTTTTTTTGTTAGGTAATTGTTCAAGTTTTTTTTAGTAATTACTAATTACAAAAGTAAAAATTATCTAAATGATCTTAAATCTTAATAATAGGTTACAAAATATTAAATAATTACCTAAAAATATTTGGCAGTATTTATATATTATTCATGTTTTTATGTAAAAGGTTCATAGTAATAATAATAATAATACTGTATGAATAATACATAGTAATTGTATTGGAAACATTCATAAACAAAACATATTTGTACAAATAATAATATTTTATTTGGTAAGATACTAAGTAAAATGTATAAGTTATAAATATATTATATACATTTATACTTATGTCAAATGGATTTAATAAAGATTTATAAAAGTATAGAATAGTATATTCAGTAGTACATAACTATAAAATTATAAGAATACATAAAAAATTAATTGACACTATTGACTTAACCAAATCACCAACTAATAATTCATATTATGAATTAACACACACAATTGTGTTTATATAAAAAAATATCTATGCATAATTAATTTTAACATATAAAAAATCCTTAATATTACATAATATAAATAAAATCACAAAATTCGGACTAGGATCAGACATATTGTACTAAATAAATTCTACTTAATGCTACCTATATTATTTGTTATATTTTTACACTGATTTATACAATAAAATGGTAACGTTTTTTTCAAAATACACAATTGGCTAGCATAGCCTATYGATGTATTAGCAAAAACAGCAATAATATTACATTTTCTAATTCCAGTTAACTATTGCAACACATTAAACTCTTAAGTTTAAATAAATTAACTACTGTATATACAATCAAGAGATAATATTCTGGTCGCAATAAACTTAAATTATTAAGTTATATAAAATAGCTTGTTTAATCAAAAACAGCCAAAATCTAAATTACATTATTAAGTATGTTAAAATAATTTAAATAAAAAAATATAATAGATATTTTTGTTTGTTCATTATTAAATTTGTTAACACTTTTTTGTTTAAATAAGTCAATCAATTAAAAATTGTAAAAATATAAGAATGTAGATTTATAGCAATATAAATTAAGTTATAAGGATTTTTAATACATAGAATTGAAATTAATAAATCAATCAATTCATTGAATAAATATTGGCAGGTAAACTAAACTATAGTCTATTAAAAATAAATAATAAATAATCAGAAAAAATACGCTAAATACTTAAAAGACCACATCCTAACTTTTATTGTCATATTTGACGCACGCATAAATTGAACTAAGGTATAATAGCATTTTTAGAGGGAAAATAGTATATATAGAATATATGTATAATGTATATATAATATAATGTATGCCGAGCGTAAAATAGAGACAATAAATAAAGGCATGGTGTCATCTTAATCTACAATATTAGGAACACTCAAAGAAAGTTGTACAATGTAACGATAATGAGAATAAATAAATTTAATCTAGGTGTATTATTGGCATCAGCTGTTGAATCGGGGTTAAACTCAAATACACTAATCGTTCTATTAAACAATGAGCGTGGTTCAAAAAACAATACATCAGAGTAYGCCGCATGTGAAGCATTGATGAATTGCTCATCATGAGAAGTCATAATATCGAACACACACCAATCTAAATACTGATCAGTTAGTTTGTGCCCAGTGGGCCCAATACTGTTATGACATAAAGTCAACCCACGATCTAATTCATTTATTGGAACTTGTTTAATATCTATTTGTTCAGAAGCCGGACAACCAGTAGAACATAATACATTCTTATCCTGATCAAATACTTGTGTCAACTGGTCTGGCATTTTAGCAGAAATAGACAGATATTTGCCAACACGGGTAATAGTTATAATTGTAGAAATATAGGATAATCGTATGATTACTGTCTCACTGTTGTGGTCATTTGAGCGCCAGGAAAGAGAAACAGTTGGTGATGATGCTGGTCCAGATGAAGTGGTACTATCTTCAAATTTATCAGGTAACTGAAGATCTCCTTGTGCTTCATATAATTTATAAGGGGTACACTCAGGTTTGTGTGCTTTTAACATAACTGTTAACTAAAAATTGGAAAAGATTATGATTAAATAAATTTTATATTTACATAAAAAATTAATCAAATAGGTACCTTAGTTGGAGCTGTGGCTGTTGTGCTATTTAAAATGGCGTCATTGGTTACCATAATACTAAAAAATGGATTCTCAATTACTTGCCAAGCTCCACGAATCAGACAAGTTTGATATTTGCCATCRAATGTCCTCAAATGAGGATCACCAAACAAGCCACAAAACCGGTGTTCTTTTTTATCATCAAACAGCAATGGGCAAGCAGGTCCGTTGTGAGTAGATGGAACCATTTGGGAATTTTCACCACTATTATTTCTGGAAAAATCTTCATGGCCKATACATTTCTTTTTAAACTCTGAATTTGATACTGTAATAGCTGAATGATAACCAATATCACCACGACATTTTTTTGATAATGATTTCATACACTTAAGGTATGCATCTAAATCTCTACACTGATTGTCTTTATTGTCAGGCAAAATACATGTATCTTGAGGACATGGTACCGGAACACAGGTGCACACTAAAAAAAAGTTTATATTACTCATTTGATTCTCAAGGAAATTAAACAAACATAAAAATTGATAATTAATTATTAAATTAAAAAAATAAAACATAAAAGAATGTTATGAAATATGCTAATTTACTAGTTGCCTACTACAATTTATATTATACTTATAAATGTGTATTTAGTACCTACATTAACTTTCAAGAATAATTAATCAAGTTAATTTCGTTAAATGTTTTTAAGTATCTAACCTATGTGCTTCTGCTTTGTGTTTTATTTACCAGTCTTAATAAAACAGTACCAATTATTATTATTATTATTAATATAAGATAATTTATAAATACTAAACATTGTAAAACACAAGAAAATACAATTAACAAATCACTGGTAAACAATTATACTGGGTATTGGCGTGTGGATCTAAACGTTAACAAATACCAGTTTATAAGCTCGTAGTTATATTGGCATTGAATCATAATGTTTTTATCAGTTTATTAATTTGATAAGTAAATAACTACAATTTGAATTGATCCAACATAAATATTAATTTAATTGGTTAGAGACAAGTAATTGGTACTTGATAGGTATTTAGTAAAAGGTTAGGTATACACTACTTAAACATAATTTTTTTTWAATTACAAATCATTTAGGTAATCTAACAAATAATCATAAGAGTTAATATTTTCAAAATTCTTACCTGCAATAACAGTGGCCCATATTATCCAAATACGATGAATATGGTTTGAAACAAGCATTCTCCTGGAGTGTATTGAACACAAATAACCAGCTACGTCACCATGTCTTCATAACGAAACTGTAATAATCAAAAAACATGACCGGTTAAGAAAATATTTAATGAAAGTGAATATCAGTAAGTAGGTATAGGTTGATAGACCCTGATAGATTACTGAACGGCAAGACCATCAGAGTAGCGCCAGTAACTGCGATCAATCGTAACGCTTAGGTATGTCCGAGCAACGACACAGTTGCAAGATAATATAAACGAAACGTCAATGTGGACAATATTTTTAAAAATATGATACAACGACACCGAAACGGTAATAATTATGTTGTTATACTAATACTATATTAATATTATATTTAAGAATAACAAAACAAAATTGACACGTCCGAGGTCGTAGGTACAACAGATACACACACAATAATTAATATGTTATGGGTACCTGATAAATATTTAATTAACATGCACCTACTTGACACATCTATATACGTACAACAATAATGTAATAATAATAGGCAATACGTAGGTAATGATAGGTATGATGATAATAAATCGATTGCGACATTTCGCGAACATTACCATTTACAGCAGACGGCAGTGCACAGTAGGACGAAGAGGACGACGACGACGACAGAGGGGACGCGACGATCGCACTCGGATGACGGGCAGCATCAATTTAGGCGGCGGCGGAGGTCGATCGATTCGTAAACGGCCGCGGCGCGCGCGAAATTAATAATATTATTATAGTACGGACGGCGGCGACGATTATTGACGTAATAATATAATAATCTACAGACGGGACGTACACACAATATCGCGGTATCAGAATACCGACAACAACTACTACTGAAGTACACACCACACAACAACGATATAAACGAATGGTCGCGAGCAGACAGCGTCCGTCGCTATCAGCGCCGACGTGTGTGCGTGCGTAGTGCGTGTAAACAACGAGAACGTCGTATTTGAAAAAAAAATCATATAATATTTTATTATTGTCGTAACGCGGTCTCGGCGATCGGTAGACTCACTGCGGCGGCCGGCAACGAGATACGGTCGCGCGGCGGCTGCGGCTTCGGCGGCGGTGGCAGAAGGGAATGCGGTCGGACCAATCGGCGCGACCGGTCATGTATAACGGGCATCGCAGCCGCCTTGGCTGCGAAAGCCGTCAACGCTCCCGGACGCGCGGATGGGGGAATGCTGGTGGGCGGGTGGGTAGGAGGGTGGACGGTACGTATGGCGGCGGCCGTTTTGCTGTGCGTGTACTACGCACGGCTGGCGCGTTTCGTCCCAGACTTGGTGTCGTCGGCTCGTGGGATTCCTTGTGTGTGCGGCTGCCAACCCCCTGTGCCCCGTCCTCGCAACCGTTTCGTATTATTACACCGCACGTACAAGCGCATATACCAATATTATTATTCATTGTTTGGTACCTATATAATATTTGATAGGTTTACGTTTTTTTTTTTTTCATCTTTTTCGTCTGTACGGCACAATACACGTTCTCATCTTACCCCTRTATAAAATATTATATACGACCTGAAACGTATAATATTTAATATTATTATGTGGAAGCGGGTATATACGTAGTAGGTATGCGACCGACGTGTACAGGGTGGTTGAGACGACGATTATTCATCGCGCAAACTTCTAATAAGTGATAAGTCGTTACAACATTATTTATTTCGTAAAATAATCATATTTCTGATCAATGTAATTTTGATGAGTAAAAGCCGAATATCGTCATATACTCATATCGAACTATAAAAAGTAATAAATAAACAATATAGCAATACATTTATTACGTAATTTGCAAGTGAGTAGACAGGAGTGTATGTCAGCGGAAATGATAACCCCATCAACCGTTGTTGCACTATACTCCGAACATCATCCAAACATTAAACGCTTAATTTTATTTTCATTTTAATAGGTGATCATGGAAATCCTTAAAAAATTATTATGTTTCGGACTTTCGGAGTGTGAAAAAAAATACTTACCTAATAGCAAATAGTATATACCTATTTATGCCATTATGGCCTATGATGAGTATTACCAACTGGCTACTACCTGAACATAAACATTTAAAAATATGATGTAATGACTACCTACTTAAAATGTTTTTCAAAAAAAAAAAATTTCAAAAGCCATAAACTTATAAGGAACTTGATCGATTGATAATGAAAGAACCACTCTGTATGTTATATATATATGATATTGTTAGGCCGTAGCCGCGTGGTTGTTGTGTCCGCGTTTCAGAAAAGAAATCGGATGGGAACGGCGGAGAGGAAGAGGATGAAAAAATAATAAAATACAAAATACGTGAATACGTGAATACGACGTGTATACATAATAATAATTCTGTCGTACGACGGGAAAACGCGTGAACAACAATGGTGAATGGACGGCCACTGCCGACTGTACGTGGTGTATTGAGAACACCGTGACATTACTATATACGACGTTGCCTATTATAATAATAATAATATATGTATAGCTATATATATAGGGAGATTGTGGTCGAGACGTTACGTCAAAAAAACCAAAATACTAAAATCCTCGACAACCGTGGATTTTTGATTATTTATAAAATATATATAATATTTTTTACCTGCAGGAAGTATAGTCAGTAGGTATATCCAATATACAAAATAATATTACATATTATTATTATATTATACCAGGTATATGCGTCGACGACGTAGCATTTTTTTTTCGCATACGCGACCGTATCAAAAATATAATGTGTAATATTATAACATAATATTACCTGCCTATATAATATGTACCATGATGAACTCGCGYATGCATCATTCACAGCATATATACATAAACTGCGAAACTGAACACAAATTTATATACCATTTATTTGGTATAATATAGATATATATATTTAAATGACTGTCCAAAAAATAGTAATACATCTTTGCATTACTGCTGTAATTTATTATATTTTATTGTATATAAGATAMACGTATTTATACAATAATATAATGATGATGAATTTTAGTGTGGTTGAAAACGATTTTAGTTGTTTTAAAGACACCGCATTACGTTTAACGAGGTTTTTTTTATTGAGAAATGCCTACTAAAAAAGTAAAATATATTATACATGTGCGATGTGCAATACCACGAAGTCTACCTATGCATATTAATAACCTATTCAATTGATTAAAAATTCATCTAACATAGCGTTTTAGTAACCGTCATTTTCGCACCTTAATCGCATGCTATAAATACGTTGTTTTTTTTTAATTGTTTGTTGAGCAATATAATAAAAGATATACTATCCGTTAATAACCATTAACACTACAAACACTATTGAACTATTCTATATTTTGAAATTTCGTTTGCGACTTTGCGTATAGATTCCTAATATAAATGTTATAAGTTATAATCTACATTAATATTATGTTATATACTAGCTGTTGTCTTTTTATAATTTAAAATACAACAACTTAACTCTAGAAATTTTTAATAACTAATAAATTATAAAAATCACAATATACGTATAATTAAACATTTAATAACAAAGTTRAATGGTTGCATAATTGCATGGTTTCAAATAATTATTTCATTATGGGTAAATAAAGCAATGATTTACTACAATACTACCTATAGTCAATATTATACTTGAAAACAATTATGCAAATAATGCAGAACCGATTGACCATATTTTTATTAATAAATTATTATATTCATAGGTCTACTTGATATGAATCATYTATATATTAACCGTGTTAGGTCAACTAAACATCAATGGGTAATATTATTTATTCGTTTATTTTAGATATTACAAATTATAATTAAATKATATTAATTTGTCTATATTCATGATATATGTGCGTGTTGACGAAATACCATGGATGTTGTAACCTATACCACACGTACATTTTTTTTCAGACCTGGCAATTATTTTCTAAAACAAGTTTTTTTTTTGTTTAATTTCTAGATTTAACCCCTACCCCTCCCCAGGATTTAGACCTTAGGCATCCTTACACATCTAGTGTTTATATCTGAAGATAATTTTAATATTTATTGCATTTTTCCATGATAAAAATTATTGTAGGGAAAATTAAAAGTGTAACTTAAATTTTATACACTAAACATTACTTCATTGATTTTATGCCAAAACATAAATAATAATAATTTATAGAGCTCACTACTAAATATCCAATTAAAATTTGTAGAAAATAAGTCGAAGATTCATAAAATAATTTGAACACTTTTTTCCTGAATTTAGTTTAAACGATAAGGATGAGATATTGAGATATTAATATAAACATATAAGATTATACAGTGTTGAATACAAACTGCAGAATACAACAGATGTACGCATCTGGAATATAGAAACTCWACGATTGTTTCTACAGCTGCCCGTAACGCAAATTACATATGTTTTCTTCGAAAATAGTAATTTATTAATTTTAAAAACTATTTAATATGTTTCAAACGTTTCTAGGTACATTTCAATTAATATGTAACACATGTAACAATAGGTACAAAACTCATACGAAATAATTGTAATTGTTATAGGTATAGATATAATTTTATAAATATCATAACTTACATAATGATAGTACATACTACCTAGGTACTACAGTACTACCTATAGACTATAGTAGTAAATGTGTAATAATACACAGGATCACTAACAAAATATAATATGCTGCATGGTGATTCACCACATATACATGCTCAGCCCCATATTATCTTTGATGATGAGTTAAATTCATTTTTGAATTTATAAGTATATATACTTAAAAACCTTATTTTCAACTATTCAGATTTTCCATATCAATTATGGAGCGTCCTGAGGGATACCAACTTTTATTTTAAAATGAGAATATTATCAACTTTTCCCCTGTAAATTATTTATTATTATGTGGATGATTTTATCGAAAATGTTGACATATCCAATCCAAATTTTGAACAAATAGTTTCTGAATTTTTTTTACTAATCTATGAATATTTTATATTTTATATAAAATTTGTTTGAGTTTAATACATAATACATCAGCTAGGTATTTTATAGTTTTGTAAAGCCATTTTTAAGGACTATATTAATGCTTAGTAATTAATATATCTACTATAGTAGCGAATTTATACATTTTTCATTAGGGTCCACATAATTTCCCCAGCACAAAGCCTTGGATTGCATTTATAATTATTTTTCTATAACTTATCATGAAAAAAATGAAATTAATATCATTATGAAGTAATATAGAGTTTCAAATCTTTTAGACCACCACCTCCTCCCCATTGATACCYATACTTATAAATTAATAGCTCAGAAATCACTCGTTCAAATTTTTATTCAAAAGAAATTTGATTCGCCACAGGATATTTCTTAATTAAAGGATAAATCTTAATTATTTGAAAATATTGCTCTTAAATAGGTAGGTATAAATACAAAAAAWTCCAAAAATCAGAAYTCTAATAAATTTATTGTTAAAGGAAATATCATCTTTTGTAATGTATAATATATACAAGTATATTGACAAAAATTTTCGTTTTTATCAYTATTATTATATTAAAATCTGGACAAAAAAAATGTACTACTTACTATATTTTCAAATTTTAATTACTTGTACTTACTAAGTACCTACATGTTTTATGCATGATGAATGATGATATATAATAATAAAAAAAAATCTTAATGAGAAGCGGCCTTTTATTAGCACCTTTTACTGATAAAATATAATAATAATAAAACTAAAATGATGACTTGAATAAGTTATAGCCATTAATTTTATT